GAATGTGATATGACATCATCATGCCCATATATGAATGTGATATGACATCATGCCCATGCGGCGAGTTGATTGGTTGAGCGGTTAATACAGGGGAACCGTGACTTACAACCATAATATCGGCGCTGGTTTGAACGGCACGCTGGCCTATGGTTCTGGTGGTGGAACAAGTCGCATAAGGACTCTAAACTGTAGGTCCAGTGTACACAATTGGCTTGTGTGCACTTTAAAGAATCCAGTACATCATTCGAGAAAAGAAGGGGGTAACCCCGGTGTACTGGTCCATTTCCAGTCCCCTGTCCGGCCACAGAAGGAGCGTTTACGACGCGGCCCATGTCAAGTATCGATCATACTTGCGAATCCTTCTACCACACTACGTAAGCTAGATCATACACACTAGCTACGTAGTGACTCGATAAGAAGAAGATCATGCCCATTATATGAATGTGATATGACATCATCAAGCCCATATATGGGAAAATCAATGATGTTTATCAAAGCAATCTAGTGTGGACAAAGTTTTAAGTGAAAAATAAGCGAAGATGGAATTGTTTTGATTTGTGTGTTATCAAATCTTTATAGATATAAACTGTTTATCATGACATTGGAGTGAAAACATCACAAATTCAAACATAGCAAATTTAAAGAATCTAATCCTTCAAAGAAACAAATGAATCCTGAAATTGTTAACCAGCTAATTTAAAGCCCTGCCCCTACTAACAAATTTATTTTCAACAAAGAAAAACATGCGACATTCCTAAATATGGTTATGGTGACATCACATCATGACCATATATAGCAACATCAGGACTATATATGGACATAGGGCAGTTTTTCTTCAAAGATTTGATAATCTGAAGAGAGATTTAACGTATACATACAGAATAAAAGAATGATAAATATATCCATTAATGGACCTTTCCGCAAAGCTCCGCCCCTTGTATATTGTTGCTAAGGTCCCACAAGACGGCAGTGTTAAAACCTACGCGAACACGTGCGTTTGTGGGACAACACGTGTGTTTGTGAGACGCACGCGTATTCCTAGCGCTGTTCTGATTAGTCAGTTGTTAAGTTTGATTGACACTCCGGAAAGGTCTATTAACAAAGAATTCAAATTTTGCAATTGAAAGTTATTAATTTCCCTAAAAATACAAAGTAAATGATTGGCTTCTTTTCAATATAGCATGCTTCTGTCTGAAATAGTACTGTACATACATTTTACATGAATTTCAAAAAACAAAATATTAACTTAAAACAAGTTTGGTTTATACAGTAGTTTAGGTGATTTAATGCCAGTTAATGCACTCAATGATACAGACTGATGTTGCAGTGGCCTTAATTATTGTTTTGAAGTACGAATTCTCCAAATTTACAACATTAATTTGAATATGATGCTCCCCACCCCCCTCCTCTTTGCTTTGCAAAAGTAGCTGCAAAAAGGAGCACATCCAAAATTAGCAAAAAAAAAAAAAAAAATAACAAAAAAAAAAAAAAAAAAAAAAGATGCCCAGTGCTTCAATTCAAGTTTTTTTTTTTTGTATTCTCTACATTTTAAGCTTTAAAAAATGATTCATTTACTGGAACTGAATCACTATTGCAAAAGTTGTGTGAAAAAGTATTACAGATTCTCTGTAAAGTATTCAATAGTGCCACTTCTTTTGCAAATTACTCAGTTTAACATCTAGTGACACTACGCTACAGTAGTTTTGGGATGGCAAGTCTTATATACATACAAATATATTAAAACAGAAAAAAAAATTGATTGATAATAAAAGCTCTCAAATATTTCATATACACACACAATTTACGACACTAAGGACAAAATAACATTCCAACAGATTAAAATAAACACAGGTTAGGCTCAGTAGATTTGAGGTAGGGGAAAAATGCACCACAATATGTACTTACAGATCAGCATAAAAAAAACCCATTCGGAACTACTTGGGTGGTCTAGATATTTTTTGATGATATCTCTCTATTTTGGGCCTCATATGCCATCAATACCAGCATATTAATTACTATATTAACACATATGTTTCTGCATGGTTTCTGAAGTGAATGACAGACGTTTCATGTTTTGGAGGCAGCGTGCGTGTGGTATTGGGTGTCATCAATTATGTGAATTTGGACTCTAAGATGCGATTGGGCAATCTTAAGACTTAGAAAATGAAAGAGAAGAGCTTTACTGGAATGCATATAAAAAAATACATAATGCTTGTGTCATGCTGTGAAATGTACTGTATATGAAATTACCTTGACTATTAAAGGGTGGCCCACATCACTAATCATATGTTACTGGTGTACACAAATAGAACCTACTATTCACGTTTTACCTCATTTATGTTAATGTAACAGATTTTTTGTTTGTTATGGTTACAGCTCTTAAATTTAACTTAACACCTTGAAATTGCATAAACATTGTTAACAATTTAATAATAATGATAATAATAAATATATTATTGATGCTTAAAAAGTGTAGCAACGTTAGTCTGCTATGGAAAGATATAAAAAAAATGACACCAACACTTTTAAAACTAACTTAACAATCAAAAGTTGATTGATGACGATGATGATGATGAATGACAATGTTACTCGAGTGGTGTAAACTTATGCGCGGTTTAGTGAATGCTAGCATTAACGCGCAATCACCGGCATACAATAATCTACTAACAGATACCAGATTAGCGTATACCACTGAGTTACGACATCATGCATCACTGATATGGAACCCTGCCAGGATTTGACCAATCACAATAATATTAGATGTAAACAGGAAATAAAATGTGCGATTACGAATTTATGTTTCATGCGAATACCTACACTAGCATTTATGTTAATCGTCCAGTCTGAACATCTAGTTACACCTTGCATTAAAGTATGCCCGGCTTTAAATTCGACTCGCTTATCGCTTAATTCTGAGCCAATGATAATGATGAAGAAGACAATGATGATGATAATAGCAATAGTAGTAATAATAATAATAATAATATTAATAATAATAACAATATTAATAATAATATCAGTAATAAACATATTAAAACATTAATGATGATATAATGACATACAAAATAGATGATGATTATAATGATGATAGAGATGTCGATGATGATAATATTAACAACACCAAGGGGACTACTCTGTCATTACATCCCCAGCACACATAAGAATGCTGGTGGATCACCAGTTAAACCTAGTGCAAGTAAACCTTTTACCAATATTTTTGGATCACCAAAAACACAACATTGGATAAAAATAACTTTGTGAATGGTCTGAATTTACCTGGAATCTTCTTTACTTGGTTGGGTGTCTTCTTGCAACTCACTTCCACTGCTACATGAGTCACTTGCAGAGTCATAGTTATCTAAGAAAATGGAAGAAACATTCGTCATGTAATTAAAGTTATTATTGGTACTATAACTACAGTGTGTATGATTATCATTATCAACATTTAATGTATTATTAATATATTCAGCATCATCTTAATAGCTATGATCATCAAGATAATTATCATTCACTACAATCATCATTATTATTACCGCTGTTACTATTATTATCATTACTCTTATGAATCATGATTTTTAGTACTTTTGTTAGCAATAAAGTAAACTAACAGAGGATATGGGTTAATATCTAAAAACCCCCACCCCAACCCAAAAAATTAAATTACAGTAGGGCATTGTCCATCACAACAAGAAATGTAATATTTAGTGGCATTTATTAATGAAGGAGAATGGCATTATGAAGGGGAAGGCATGAGGGGGTGGGGGGAGACAGAGAAAAGTAAGGGGAATTTACTACGGCATGAGGTGGTACTGTATGTAATGTGATTTTTAGTTCCGATGAGGAGCTCAAGAAACACTCGGTTGATTGATTAATAGATCTTTTTTGTATGTGCGATTAATAGATCATTTTTGTATGGGCGACCGTTAGTGCCGATATACTTTACTGCCTCTATTATACTGCCCTCTTTTTTGGAGTTTTCGAGATTATGAGAACTCGTTAGCAACTTTAGTGGATATAATTTATATATTTATTCAACTGAACATACACTTTTGTTTCAGTGGCACACAACACTTCGGTGCGTTCAATGAGTAAGAAAAAACAACTAAACTAAAAGAGACTAAAAGTTATACAAAACAATTATACAATAACAGTAATATTTTGTAACTATTTAGAATTAGAATCAGAAACCTTTCTTTTTACTGAATACCCAATCAATGTGGGGATATTGTTTTTCCTTGGGGTCCAGATAACAAGAACTTAAATCTTATACAAAAATAAATGAAAATAAAATTATAATGACGAGTTAAGTACAAGAAGCAAATCTAAATTAGATCTTTGAAAGATTTTAAAGTAGGTGAGTGTATAGTGCTGCGAATATTTGAAGGTAGGTTATTCTAAATTCTTTTACCAGATTCATTTTGCCATTTTGGCAAGACTAAAGTGTTTTTGGATTTGCTTCTTGTATTTATATTGTGATAATCATCAATAGGATTGTAAATTTGATTAAATGTTTGCTCAACGATGGGAAAGGGTTCCTGGGGGTTGCAAATTCTTCTGGGGAAGTGTGACTCCCAGTCTCTGTTACCATATGCCACTGATAACAAAGTCATTCTCAGCAATTCCCACTGAGATATTCCCGACCAAAAGCATTCCAAAAAGGAATTCCCATGGAGGAATACCCTTTAATACACATATACAGTAGCTCATTAATTTACCTTTTGACACATTATGATAATAGGTTGGCCCTGACTAGTAAACAATCATTAGGTAGAACCCATCACTACTCACCTATTTCTGAAGTTGGCATCTCTCGTTCTATATCGTCTGCTTTTTGCTTTGCAACAGTTGCCAAGGCGCGTTCATCTAGATCCATGGCCAAATAGTATATATCCTAAAATTATGAGTTATTTTTTAATTGTTATATACAAAATATTCTATAATAATAATATAATAAAACAATATAATGCAGCATTGCAGAGAAAGATTTGCTGGTTCGCTGTGTGCATTCATAGCTAGGCCTAGCAAATGAAATATTCCATTGCGATGTGCTATAGTAAAATCACCCCAGCTTTGAGCTTTTTTGCACACGAGATGCAACAAAACGGAGGCACTATATCGAATATGTTCCAGTTTATGAGAGTCTCAAACTGGGCAACAATATTCACGAATAGGCAAAACCAAGACTTTATATAAGAAAATAAAAATAAAACCATATTATAATGGTAATTATTTAATTCCTATTCCTAACACCCAGGGCAGACTACATGTTTGTAGTTCACTCTGGGTTTCAGTATGTCAATTTTTTTACCTAACCATTATATTCAGGGTATTACTCACTCTCAAACTACTTATTCATTTTTCAAACTAAGATTTAAACAATATGTTGTGTACTTTTTAAAGTATCTTTCTTTTTATCGTTTATCAAATATTGTTTTTAAAACAATAAAATTAGTAAGTTTTTCTTTGTCTAAATGTTCTTATATAAATTTCATAAATGTGTGTTGTTCTTCCGTAGTTACATTAATAAAATGTTTTGTTTATGTTGTATTTATATTAAAAAAAATGTTGATTGAGTCTTCCTCTATAATATGGTCAGTCTTCATCAAAAATAAAAATAATAAATATAGAACAGATCATCACAAAAAAAAAACAAACTGGAGAGTGAATACAAATATTGACTGCTTATGAAGGAAACAATGGAATCTATTAACCCATGGTGACATGGCGGAGGTCATAATCTCCACATCACTGAGGGGCTACGGATTCAACTGTTTCCCAAATCTAGAGCAGTCAATATTTGTCTTATATACCTCATACACTTTTTCTTAATTTGCCTTTCAATACTTTTGCTATTGACTATCCTTCTTCAATTGAGTAGCTCAACAAACCGACCAACCTAAGCCATGTTTGTTTATCACCTATTCGCTGACCGGTGACAGTCAAAAGGCTTTCTCGTCGTAGAGGCTGCTGTTCATAAATTACACAGCAAAGTTATGTAGGCCTAGACTACATCATAAGAGTGGAAGAAAGTACTAATTATCATTGAACGTTATACTTTCAGCCCCAGGAATTTATGGACTATCATTCAACCTGTCATATGAGTGATGGTTGAAATTATTACCCTTATTTTAACCCATCAGATGCCTGGAATCTATCTGCAGTATATACAAATATATTGCACCCTAAAAAATTCAACAAAACGTCCATAATATAAATCGAATCATGTTTCAAACTTATGTAAGTAATTGATACAACGTGTGCCAATATACTTATGTGTAATCTGTTCCGGATGTACCAACAACTTTTGAACTTAATCAAATCAAGTTCAAAAGTTACATAAGTATTTGATATAGCACGTCACAAGTACTTATGCATTGGTGTATCATGCATTAATATAAATTTATATAACTTTAGAAATTGTTTTGATCTACATCTTTAATCAAATAAAGTTCAAAAGTTATATTTAAAGTAATTGATACTCCACATACCAATTACTTATGTATATACTGTATAAACCAAACACGATTCAAAAGTTATGTAAATAATTTGTTTAAATTAAGTAAGCACACTCTCAAAAATAAAAAAATAAAAACGATTTCAGGAACAAGTTTGTGGTTTAGAAATAACAGCCCACAGCCAAGCAGGAACTGAATAGATTAACAGTTTAAATTATGGATTATATAGGATTTGTGATCTACATGTATAACACACCTCTGGGGGAGTGAGATGGATGAATGAATATGAGATGATGGGGTAAAATGATTGTTCAAAAAACCAATAGGCACCACTAGACTAGTCACTATTCAATATGAACAGTCATTTTAATATATTTGGAAGATTAATATTGACAGGGGAAGATTCTGAATTATTTAAACCAATGGGAACATATTTCATGTAGGCCTAGATGCAATGTAATTATACAGATAAATATGTCAAATAATGGGATGATCTATGTTCAGTGTATGCTATTTTGAAATATTTTAACATTAAATACTTGTATGCCATTTTGTATTTTTTTCTGTAAAAACGTACAAGGCAGCAGTGGCAAACATAGGTTGGGGGAGGGGGGAATGCTCCCCTGTGTCTAAATCCTCCCCTGACTGACTGACCAGTATTAAAATAACCAGAATATAACATGAGAATTACAAAGAACAGCTGCAAAAATTACAAACATAAGCTTTGGATTGAAAAAAATACACCTAGTTGAACTCTATAATGCCAGGAGTTTACTCTAGTAACCTGTTCTAAGCTCATTCAACCAACCCCACAGCAACTTTAAAAATGTGTTCATAATATGATAAAAAGTGCAGAAAAGTAAATCAAGTGGTCCTAATTGTGGGACCCGGAAACAAGGGTTAGGCCCCAGGAGACCTGTGGCAGCTGCAGTGCTACCCACCCCTGGAGATGATATGAAGAGTAGGCCTACATTCGAAGTTGTACACAAAAAAAACACCAAAAAAACAAAAAACCAAAACCCGTACTTCAAAGGTAAAGTGGCTTAATAGGATAGAGCCAGGAACACAAAAACTTTTGTGGTTTAGTGCACACATAGCGGTTACCACCGTTTATAAAGTTTTTAATGAGCTATGCTCATAAAATAAGCGGTTACCACCATTTAATGTTTTTAAAGAGCTATAATGCTCATAAAATATTTATTGGGATTTAATATGTGTATTTATAAATTAAATTGCTTCATATTTTGTATACAACTTAGAGCTGTGTTTATTGCTGTTTTTCTCACAGCAACCACTGTTGAACAACTAAAATTGGCATGGGGCAACTGACCAGTGCATCTCTGACTTCCATTGGATCAAACTTCCCCAAGGAATAGAGATAACCATTTCCCTAGGGAAAACTATTGGCTAGCTGTATTAATACGTACTAGTTAATACTAAAGGATTTCTCCCCATAATACATTCATGATTGGCATAATACCTAATTCCAATAAAATATGAAATTAAATTAAAATGGGAAATAATTGGAATTCCTTGGCGAAAATGAAAAATGGTAGTAAATGGCCATGGATGGTTGTAACATGGAATTGATGGATCTTTCCTCTAAGCCCCATTGCTAAGGTCCCACAAAACAAATATGCATACATGTGCGTTTGTGGGACATGTGTGTTTGTGCGACAAGCGTGTAGTGATCTGATTGGTCAGTTGTTAAGTTTTATTGACACTTAGGTAAGATAAATTAGTGTGCCAGTAAAGCTGTGCAGAACAGGGATTCCTAGCAAGTGGTGCAACAACAGTTTTCTATGTGTTTTAGTAAATTCATTTCAATATCTCTACTGTTTACTTTTATCTGAGTTGTTTTGAGCATTTAAAAAATGAACAGGAACACTATAAAAAATATTTTATTTATTATAATATTCATAGTTAATATTTTGATTAGGCCCTTTAAATTTAATTGTTTTTCTCAAGGCTTCCGTGCACATTAGTAAATTCATGCGCTTTGTTCTTGCCTAAATAAGTTAAACATTTTTTTTTTCACAAAAAAAGCAACATTTTCTTCAAAAAAATATATATCTTGCTCAAATTCAACCTCCTTTAATAGTCTATAAATATGTTTAAACCCAGTTTTTTTCCATCAAAACATATTTTGAAAAAAAACCTAAAAAAAGCGCATTCCGCATTAGTTTTTGGAAAAATGAAACCTTCAAGACAAACAATTAAATTAATATGGTCTTAGATCTAAAACTGTACTGTCTGCCAAAAAGAATTAGGAAAAACCTTAAAAGTTTGATTCAACTTTTAATAGCTCATCTAAAAGGATGTAACAAAAAGATTGAAGGCCAACAAAATCAGAAAGACCCACGTCTTTAAGATAATCGAGAATAATATAAATATAAAATTTAAAGTATCCCTGGCAGGGTTTCAAAGGGAGAGTTTTATGGCTTAAGCATGCCCAGATTGCTTTTAGGGGATAATCTTAGGGATTGGCAATCAAATCTTGTTGTGGTGTCGGACGAAGGGGATCCAGGCCTGTCTGACGGGGAAAATTCCCCTGCTTCAGCTGGAGTCACCACTGAGTAGAACAGTGAATTCAAGAAGGAAAAAAACTTGCATGCAGGTTTGTTTAAATAAAGGGCATGCCAAGTTTAAGCAATGACAAACCACATTTTTACAACAATAGTTTTCATTGTTATAGCCAAGCACACCGTTTTCATGAAGATTTGACAAGTTATGTCTATAAATAGCTTTTAAATTTAAACACTGCTTGCTAAAATTAGCAGGAATATAGCAGCATGACACACGGTGCAAGACCAGGTCATTGTCATCAATTAAAGGTACAGTTATGGAGGAAGCCTTCACCTATGACTTTTTATATATACATCTTTTTATATTTTATACAACAATATAACATTAAATGACAGCTGCAGTTTTGAGACTAAAAATTTAGAATTTATTATCGGTCCTACAACAACAAAGTATGCAAATATGGTGGACAAAGCATTCTACTAGTCTGCCGAAATAAGCAATCCCAATAAAAAATATTGAAAGAACAAAAGATCAATAAGAAAGTGTGGGAAATAGCACACAGTATAAGTCTATACACTTAAGAAAAAGAGTTGTTCAGCCATTGACAATATTTTATACACAAATTTGACAAGTATATGTGTTTCACTTTGCAGATGAATAATTGAAGCTATCCTAATCTTATATAAATATTTTGGTAATTTTTTAGCATTAGCATGAATTAAATTTTGCTTCTATGGTACACTGATATCTGGGTTCCACACTCATTATCTACCTTATTATAATTACACTTCCTAATTAATTTATTAGGTATTTACCACACACTTTGACTCCTAGTAGTATTTTTGTCATATCACAATGCGCTTTGGACTATCTATTTAAATAAAATTGTACATTATAAGGGGTATTTTTA